AATTTGGTGGAGACTTCTGCTTCTGAATTACGTTTTTTAAATTGAGGGGGGCACACCCATCTTACTTTTGACACTCTCTGCTCAGGCATCACTTCTGGTGGGACTCGGTACTCTGGTGTGGGGGACTGAACCCCAGTCATCTGCTTAAATGGGCAAGCATCCAACCTACTGTACTATTGCTCTGGTTCTTGCTTCACAGTTTAATCCCATTATGGTTATGGGTAATCCTTTGTATTAATCTTAAAAATAGAAAATAAAGGGGCCTTTTTGTCTTGCATTTTGGAGAACCATTCCCAGATGTACTCAGGGCTTTCCCCTGGCTTTGTGCTCAGATATCACTCCTGGTTCTGTGCTCAGGGAGCACTCCTGGCTGAGCTCAGGGGACTGGATGTGTAGCCATATCAGTCAAGTGCCTTCCTGTTGTATTCTCTAGCCCCCAAATTAGGGTTTTTATTTTGTTTTGTTTTGGGCCGGAGCGATAGCACAGCAGTAGGGCGTTTGCCTTGCATACGGCCAACTTGGCCGAGCTGAGTTCGATTCCTCCGCCCCTTTCGGAGAGCCCGGAAAGCTACCGAGAGTATCTCGCCCACATGGCAAAGCCTGGCAAGCTACCCGTGACGTATTCGATATGCCAAACACAGTAACAACAAGTCTCACAACGGAGATGTTACTGGGCCCGCTTGAGCAAATCGATGAACAACGGGAGAACAGTGCTACAGTGCTTGTTTTGGGCTACACCCGGTGACGCTCAGGGGTTACTCCTGGATCTGCACTCAGGTCAGGAATCACTCCTGGCAGTGCTTGGAGGACCTGGGGTACCAGGGATCTAACCTAGTTGTCCGCATGCAAGGCAAGCACCCTACTAGCTATACTCTGGCCCACCGAAAATGAGTTTTAAGATTTGATTACAATTAAGAGGTTAAAGGGGATACTTTTATAGTTTGAAAATCTACTAAATTCTAATTTCTTTGTGTAGAATTGTTTGTTTTGAGGCTATACTCACTGTGCTTGGAGTTTACTCCTGACTCTATGCTCAAGGATCACTCCTGGTGGGGTTTGGGGGAGCCTATGTGGAATCCCAGAATCAAACTCTGGTTGGCCTCAGGCAAAGCCAAGTGTGTATTTATTTCTCCAGCCAGGATTTTTATCTTTTACAGGAAATAAAAGAAGTTCTGCCACTGAGGAGCAGGAAACTAGTCAGTGGTAAAAGGCACTAAATTTAATTCCTGGCACCATCTGCAAGAGCCAGGCCCACACTGCCAACTTAAACATGGCAGTGAGTGGTCCCAGACCCACATGGCAGTCTTGGGTGTGGACCCTAAGTTTTTTCTTTTTTTTTCTTTTTGGGTCACACCCAGCAATGCTCAGGGGTTAGTCCTGGCTCATGCACTCAGGAATTACTTCTGGCGGTGCTCAGGGGACCATATGGAATGCTGGGAATCAAACCCATGCAAGGCAAACGCCCTACCTGCTGTGCTATCACTCCAGCCCCCAGTTTTGTTTTTCTTTACAAAGAATTTATTTCACTGTGTTGGTCACAATAAAGTTTGTGAGACTTTATTTTAGGGTTTTGGGGCCACACCAAGAGTGCTCAGGGCTTAGTCCTGTCTCTGCACGCAGGCATCACTTCTATCCACTTGGGGATCCCAAGGGGTGCCAGGAATTTAACCCAGGTCAGCCAAGTGTAAGACAAGAAACCTACCTGCTGTAGTATCGCTCTGGCTCCTAGGAGTATGAAACTTTCAAGTCGATGAAGGGCCTGTTCAAAACAGAAAGGGTCAAGAAGTAGAGAAGCAATTCCAGGCATGTACCAGGTCATGGCTTTGATTCCTGGCCTTGCCAGCATGACTCTGTGTGTGAGCACTGTGACCCCTCAGGTGAGCACTGTACAATGCAAGCACACTGCAGAAGGCTTGTCAACCTCGTTGTGCCTTGTGGTGGAGTGTGTGCCTGGGTGTAAGCATCACAACCTGAGGCATGATCTGTGGTGCTTAGCTGAACCTAAGCATCACCAGGGAGTGGCTCCCTGCTCCAGCCTTTCTGTTGGGCCACCCTTAGCAGTGCAGAATTGAGTCTAGGGCTCCTGCATGCAAAGCATACACTCCAGTTCTTTGAATCATTTCCCTGGGCCTCAAATCCTTTTCTTTTTGACAGCATGGAAAAGAATTCAATGAAGAGTTAAATTTATACCAAGGGTTTCTATCGCTTCACTATTCAAAACAAATCTCTTCACTATTCAGACATTAAGCAGTTTGGGGGTAGGAATCTGAAAAAAAATTAACAAAGGATCAGCAAGGATATACCACACAAAGCCTAATTATGCAAATTTCCATTACTGTTGCTCTTTTCTTTTTTAATGAACCATTTGTTTTGGCAATTTTATGTAGATGAGGGAACAGAACATGTTTATAACACTCCTGCCACTCATAGCATTAAACAGAATGGTCATTAAAACAAACAAAACCAACTCATGTTAAAAAAAAGATTTACAGATAAGAGGCTTACAGGAATGTCACAGCCTAGTGAACGCCTGCCTAGTGAATCACTGATCAAATCCTCAGTGTTGCCAATGTGCCAAGTGTGATCCTGGCAGCTCTGCTGTCTGTGCAATTCCCGCTGTCACAAAATCTAGCCAGGTGTGGAAGTGCAGAAAGGGGAAACAATTTGCAGGAAGCACCATGGCCAGGAGGCAATCATGTGTGTGAGCATTGTGACCTCTCAGGTGAATGCTGTGCAATACAAGCACAACAAGAAAGGAGTGTCAACCTTGGTGAGCATTGTGGTGGAGTGTGCGCCTGGGTGTAAGCATCGCAACCTGAGCGTGATCTCTAGTACTAGTAGAGCGTGTAGGCCATTTGCCTTGCACACAGCTGACCCAGGTTTGATCCCCCAGCATCTCATATGGTGCCCTGAGCACCACCAGGAATAACTTGAGCATTGCTGGGTGTGAGCACAAAACCGAAATAAAAATACTCAGAGGGTAGGGTATTTGCCTTGCACACGGCTGACCCAGGTCTGATCCTTGGTCCCCCAAGTGTAGCAGGAGAGATCCCTGAGCGCCGAGACAAGAGTAAGCCCTGAGCATCACCAGGTGTGGCCCCTAAACAAAACATAGACAATGATTTAAAAATGAATCTTTAACTTTGGACACAGATGCCTGAATAGGATAAACTCATATTGAAAACTGTACACACCAGGGCCGGAGTAATAGTACAGGGGGCAGGGCATTTGCTTTGCACCCAGCCGACCCAGGTTCAATCTCTGGCATCCCATATGGTCCCCCAAGCAACGCCAGGAGTAATTCCTGAGTGCAAAGCCAGGAATAACCGCTAAGCATTGCCGGGTGTGACCCTAAAAGCGAAAAAGCAAAGAAAAAAATTGTACACACATAAAAGATAAAAATCAAGAGTATGCTAGACTTTACGTTAATACTATTTAGTAGACTCAGGTTCAGAAGCCTTCTTGAAGGGCTGACAAGATGGCTTAAAGTCCTAGAGTGCATGCATTACATGTAGACTTGGATTGGTCTCCCGAGAACATCAGGAGTGACCTCATCCAAAGTGCCCCTGGAAAAGCCTGACACCACCAGGTGTGGCCACCTCTCCCCCATAAACAAAACAACCCAAAAAAGGTTTCTTGATTTGTCTTGAGACAAATCAAGACAAATCTCAAGGAACACTTTACTATACGTATGTGGCCCCAAACTGCTAACTCCAACCAACTATAAATGAGTGGGCTTGTTTTGATGTCACTCCTGCAGTGCTCATGGATTACTCTTTCCTCTGTGTGCAGGAATCACTCCTTGGGGGGCATCCTATGTGGTGGCTGGGAATCCAACCCAAGTTGTCCATAGACGAGGCAAATGCCTTATCCACTGAATTGTCTCTTCAGTTCTAAACAAGTAGTTTTTAATAGACAGGTTATGGAAACAACCTAGGTGTCCAATGACAGAAGACTGGGTTATGCAAATGTGGTATACATACACAATGGAATACTGTGCAGTCACAAGGAATTTTGAGATCATGCAGTTCTCTGCAATTGGAGGATCTCATCATCTTAAATCAGAAGAACAAGGAAAAATATGCTGTTTTCACTAATCCGTGGTAAACAGAGTAACAAGTCTGGGGAATGGAAGGAGTCACAGGTGGACAAACCAGTTGTCCTAGATTACAGAAATAAAAATGCCCGAGAAGGAGAGAAATAGAAAGGGGGGAACAAGAAGAGGTCTTGGGATCCTCTGGTCTAGATGTAAGTCACTGGTATAAGTATTTATCTAAAGCACTAGAACCAATACTACTGTAAATGGAGATTTAAGCTATAATAATTTAAAAGTGTGTGTCAAGAAGACATTGGGGGGTGTGGGAAGGAACCTGAAGCCACTGGAGGTGCTGGAACTGGAAGCAATGCATGCCTGAAACTATTATCAAACAACTTTTCTTTGAAAATCATGGTATCTATGATAGATAAATAGTTCTTTTTTCTGATATTCCAAGGGGCAGGGGAATCATAAGGTTAGGGAGTCATGATTCTTAGCCAGGTGGTTCAATGTGAGGGACTGAGGATATGGTGCTACTTGGGCCCTGCAGCACTAGAAATTACTGGGGCCACCCCACAGTTCTCAGGGCCTTAAAGGTTGCACTCAGGGATGCTTGATGCTTCAGTGCCAGTGACGGAATGGATTCACTGCACACAAGGCATGAGCCTTAACACTTGGATCATGTCTTCAGCACTAAAAGAGTACTTAATGATCTTCCTGCTAGCCCATGATTTAAGATTAGCTTCATACTCAAGTTTATGAAACTGAGTTTTGAGCATTTGGGTAAAACAGCGTTTATACTGGTACTCAATTCTTACAATATGACGTTTAACAATACCTACCCTTCAGGATTCCTGGGGATTTTAATAACCCTTTCCCATCCCTCCCCTCATCCACATCCATAAAACATAATCACTAAACCATAACAATCAAATATGCATTTTCAAGATCTGCACCAAAAAGGTTTTTTTTTTAAATAAAACTTTTATTGGAGAAAAATAGAACCACCACGTACACAGGGAAAAGAGCACAAAAATTCAACTGATACAGAACAACAACCGAAAGTCACAATTTTCCATGTCGTTTGTATTACCTTTTAATTGCTCATACAGCTCCCCTCAACTTGTTTAATAGCTACACCAATTTTTCAGTTGAAACAGCATCAAATTTTCGAAAACTGAAAAGCCACAGGGAGGGAGGGGACCAGCCTCCAGATAATAAAAGTGACACCAAGTCTCCTCCTAACAGGACCAAGTCTACCTAGAAATTCCTTAAGAGTAACTATCAGGTCTTATGATGTAGTCTACATCTCTCAGACACCATCAGAGAGATGTTTCAACACTGACATAGATGGTCCATTACAGAGAGGGGGTAAAAAAGGCATATTCATTCTCAAATGAGCTCATGTAAGGGACCCAGGGAGGATCTATGAAAATACAGGCAATGGTTGCTCAAAAAGCATTAGAAAGGCATTCTAAGTACCACAGATTATTAGACAACAGTGTTTAAGTTGGTACAATTAGAAACAGGCAACTTTTTATAGCCGATTTTGAGAGCTGAAGAAATAGCAGACACAAGAGCCAAAAGTCTCCTCCAGTTGAAGATTAGGACCTAGGTTGTTACTAATGGCTCCAAATAGTCTAGGATATATACGGCTGCAAAAAGCACTAAAGCAGTTTTGATATTAAAAGTCAAAACAACATTTTCTGCTTTTCCTCCAAAATCCATTCTCTTCAAAGTTCCAAGGAAAAATAAACAAAGAATCAAAAGTCTCACTTACACTGTAAACACTTTTGCTATTTTCTATATATGAACAATTCGAGGACATTTTCTTGAAAGGTGTCCAGTGGCTGTGTGAGTTTTTAAATCTTTAAGCAGTTTTGAAAGGAGTTAAGATCAGCATGACAGAATTTGAAATTCCCAATTAAGGGCTATGTGAGGAAAATGTTTATGTCTAAGGCTTCAGAAAGTTCGAATGAGAATAGAAAGGGCATTTTTTACCAACGAGGAGGAGAGCTGGGATGCTTCCCAAAAAAAAAACTTTGGTAAACAGGAATGGTAAATCCTAGGAAGCCTGTAACAATCTACAATTGGTCCAAGTTAAAGACAAAACTGATCAAACAACAAAGTCAAAAGGAAGTTGAGAATTAGTTGAATTTTTGCTCTTGTAATTTTTGTAAATTAAATTTACAAAACATATTATTTTGGTCTCTTTTGCAATGTTCAAATAGTATTCATTTTTAATATAAAGAAAGAGCCGGGATTTTTCTCTCCTATCATATTCTTCTAGTACAACTCCATCAGCAATTTTCTATTCCAGCTATTTTTTATAAGTACCTGTTAATTAGCACAGTAAACTTAGGGCTATTTATATACACACATTCCATAGTCATAAGTGGAAAATTCTAGGATGTGTATATATATATATGAGTAAGCAACTGTCCCTCTACTTGAAAAGTTGTTTCCAAATACGCTCTTTTTTGACCAAAAAAATCCCTTTTAATGTAACAGAACAATACCTAGTAAAATATCAATTAGCTATGACAACTTATTTTTCTTTTCAAGGGAAATCACAAAACAGGTGAACAACCAAGTCCAGGGTGGTTTTTCTATTTGATAAATACATCCAGAACTCTGTACAGTAAATAAAGTCTGCATGCAGTTTAAGTATCTTTAAATGACATTTTAAGCAAATAAACCTTTTGCTTAGTAATTAATGGTGTATAAGAACCCCCCTTCTGTTTTAATAGGCATAGGAACCTCTTCCCCAGTTCCAAAGAGGAATCATGAAGACCAGGTACTTTCTTAAGAATTTTCTGCACATCATACTAAATAACATGCAAAGAGTTCAACAACATTCTTCTTAAAGGTAAGTATTACTCTTTAACTGGGCATGTTAACCACTGAAACAGTCCACCAACTACTCCATTACATTGCTTCATTTGGTCATTGGTAGTATAAAACAAGTCAAATAATACAGGATCAACAGATTAGTTATTCACTGGCTACTGCATGACACCAAATGCTCCTCCCAAGGCCAATATTTTATGCGATGTAGTTGTACTGGTTCGGATTTTCTTTATCTCTTTCCATATAATCTCTGTCAATTAATGACTCTATTCTCTTCTTAAGATCAGCAGGCTGTAAGAGAAAGCAAACTTTCAGTGCAAAGTTCATAATCACAAGCTCAAGTCCACTGACCAAATGTCAATAAAAAATAAGTTTGGGCCTCAGACTGGAGAGAGTACAGCACGAAGGGCACTTGCCTTGCGTGTGGCTGAGCAGGGTTTGATGCTAAGAACCACAGAGGTCCCCTGAGCTCGCCATGAGGGATCCATGTACGCAGAATCAGGAACAAGTCCTGAGCACTGCAGGTTTGGCCCAAAAAACAGAATTAAAAAGTTTGGGTTTATTATTTCATATTTAGTCTTTTTTGAGGTGGGGGAGCCTTCCAAGAAGTGCTTTCTCTTGGAGATTCAGCTACTCAGGCTTTTCGTTCAGTACTGAAAGTCCAAGAATGAGGTTCTCCTTGGGTCCTACTGTGTTAGTGTTGGGGATCACCAAGGCCTTACTTAGTCCTCAGGTTTCTTAAGGGGCCAAGTGGTGCCAGAGACTGAACTGGGATCCTGAGCATACAAAACATGAGCCCCTGAACCCTATATAGATCCCCACCGTGGGCTTAATTTCAAAGCTTGCTTTTCTTTCTTTCAATCCCTGGGCCACAAATATGTATGGCATGTATTCTTCATTTTAAAAAACACTAACTGCAGTGAAAAGAAGCCCAGTTATGAAATGCTTTATGCTTATATATATACAATCACACATGTCAAATATTGTTAGATCACTTTTCTATTTTAAAGAGGCATTCAAAGAACTAGCTCCTTTATTCACAGTTAAAAATGAAAGACTAATATAACCTAACTTCACCCGAGTAACACATTAGGGAAATAATACTATATAGTTTCAACAAGATAGTTTGAAAAAATCAGCAGACCTTTACTTTACTAAAGTTCTCACACTTAGGATGCATTTCATAAATTAAAAAAATGAACTGGGAAATCATTACTCACACACACACAAGTACTCTACTGTTTAGCTATATTCCTGTTTCTTGGGAAAATCACAATTTACAAGCATAATAAAATGCGGGGCTGGAGAGACAGTACAGCTCAGCGGTCGGGCGCTTGCCTTGCATGCAACCCACTCAGGTCGATCCCAGTTTTCCATATAGTTCCCCAAGTTCGACAGGAGTAATCCCCGAGTGCACAGCCAAGAAGCCAAGAGTAACCCCTGAGCAATGCCAGGTGTAGCCCCAAAACAAAACAACAAAACAAACACTAAAACAAATGGTTTGATAGGTACTCCATAATTTAGACCTTCATATTTTAGGCTGAAAGTAACATTTAACTACCTACTATAAAAGATTTGGATTTCTGAATCCTTCTTATGTTTTAAATCTTGAGAAAGCTTATAAACTGTCCTCATGATTGCATTCTTAGCTCTTAAGTGACAAAATGCCACAGCTATTGTATCTAGTTTAATTCAAAAAATATAATCTTGCTTGCTTACAGAGGGTTTTTCAGTTTATGTAAAATAGAGACTTTATCAAGAGGTATAGAGAGAAAGTAGTCTGAGGAACAGTCAAAATTCTAAGCATTATTTTACTGAAAATTTCTAAGGTTTGAAAATCCACATAGCATTCTCTCAATCAAAAAAACCTGGAGGGGGGCATAAGAGTCATAATAGTGGGTAGGGCACTTGCCTTGCATGTGGCCGACCCAAGTTTTTCCCCACTATCTCATATGGTCCCCCACGCACAACCAGGAGTGATTTAATAGCTAATTTAGGGGCTGGAGCGATAGCACAGTGGGTAGGGCATTTGCCTTGCACGCGGCTGACCCAGGTTCAATTCCCTGCGTCCCATATGATCCTCCCACACACCACTATTTGCCAGGATCAAAGCTAAATTTATTTACTTGGGGAAGGGCACAGCTGATGATTGCTAAGGAATTATTTCCCATGTTATTTGAGGATCAAACTGTGGTCAGTGCATGTAAGATAAACACTTTAACCTTGTACTACCTCTGGCTCCCAGTGCTATATTTTCTATATATATCATCTCATTTATACCTCATGAATTTTCTATCTAAGTATCCTCATTTTACAAAAAAATACCCTCAGCAAAGTGAGAGAGGTATTACTTGAGCAGAAAGCTCATGAGAACTTTAGTCACCAAGAGTCTATTCAAAGTCTACTAGGTGTTCTTATTACAAGTTTAGGAATCTTCTAAGACTTGAAAAACAGAGGCCAAAGAAATAGTACAGTGGCTAGGACCTTGCCTTGCATGTGGCAGACCTTGGTTTGATTCCCAGCACCTAATATGGTCCCTTGAGCATTGCCAAGAATGATCCTTAAGTGCAGAGCAAGGAGTAACCCCTGAACACTGCCAGGTGTAGCCCGGAAACAAACAAAAAACCAAAAACATCTTGAAAGACAGTCCAGTACACTACACTGTCTGTGCCCTGGGTATTTATACTGGAACACATCCATACAATGACCAACTGCAGTTGGGCAGAACTGAACTTAAAAAAATAAGATGCCCAATGAGGACTATTAAATGGATGTTTTTTTAGGGGGGGATTTGTTCTGAGGGTCACACCCAGTAGTACAGTGCTGGAATTAGAACCAGTGTCACAGCCACAGCTGCTAGGCAGGTGCCTTAATCTCTGGGCCTGTACAGTTTTTAAATGGGCACTATGTAACTAAACAGAAGATTAGTCTATGAAATAAACTAAACAATTAAAAAAATCCGAACCTGTCAAATACCGAGGTGTTTCAAGTGGGAATAAGAGGCCCAAAAGAAATAATGATATTGAAAATTTTGAAAGACAAATTTAGGGGCTGGAGAGATAGCTCAGCAGGTAGGGCGTTTGCCTTGCACACGGCCGACCCGGGTTCGATTCCCAGCATCCCATATGGTCCCCTGAGCACCACCACGAGTAATTCTTGAGTGCAGAGCCAGGAGTAACCCCAGTGCATTACTGGGTGTGACCCAAAAAGCAAAAAAAAGAAAAAAGAAAAAAAAAGACAAGTTTAACAGTAAGGTGGCAGCTCTTTTTGGGGGGGAGGGGGGTCAGGGTTGGGTGCCAAAGAGCAAACCCATAGTGCCATATATGCAAGCCACCTACTTTACATCTTCAGACCCCAGGTTTAAGAGCTTATATACATTGCTTTCTTTTTCTGGCTGGACAGGGTAGAGCTGGGCCACATCCGGCAATGCTCAGGGCTTACTCTAGCCTTTGCACTTAGAAATCATTCCTGGTGGTGCTCGGGGATCACATGGGATGCCAAAGATTGAACCCATGACGCACTGTACTCTCTCTGGCGCCTATTTTCACAGCTGCTGACATAAGCTAATAAAGTTTTTGGCGGGGAGGGAGGGTTATATATATATATATATATATATATATATATACACACACATATGTCTATATATATATAATGAAAAAACTTTTTATTAATTTTTATTAGTGAAACACCATGAAGTACAGTTGTAAACTTACAAAATTTGTGTGCTTGGGTTTCGACCATACAATGATCAAATACCCATCCCTCCACCAGTGCCCACTTTCCAACCACCATGGATCCCAGTATCCCTCCCACCCCCATCCCCCCCTGCCTCTGTGGCAGGGCATTCCCTTTTGTTCTCTCTCTCCTTTTGGGTGTTGTGGTCTGCAAAAGAGGCATTGAGTGGCAATCATGTTCGGTCCATAGTCTACTTTCAACATGCATCTCCCATCCTGAGAGGATCCTCCAAACACCCTTTATTTGGTGCTCCCTTCTCTATCTGAGCTGCCCTTTCCCCTAGAATGCCTGGCTGGCCTCTAAGCCATGGAGTAATCCTTCTGGTACTGATCTCAGCTATTCTTGGGTATTAATCTCCTATTTTGTTACTTTATGTCCCCCAGATGAATGCAATCTTTTTAATGGACAAAACTTTTACACTATAAGATTCCTGTCTGAAAATCCTTTATAAAATGGTCAATATGAAAACACAGAAGCACCTACCTTCACTGGAAATTTCAACTGATTGTACACTTCTGAAACAAGGAGATTGTGGCTAAGGGTCTTTCTCATCTTCATAATTCGAACAATTGCAGCATCAATTTGATACTGTCTGTCCTGGAATACTCTTTCTGTAGTACTTGCTTGTTCTTCAACCTACCAAAAAAAGATTTTAAATTTAGGAATTCCACCTGAAGACAGTTATTTATTATTACACATTTTACATTAAGGGATATGTATGCAACACTTGTTAAGATTTCAAAGTACTTAAAGGAACTTTGTAAATATACACTATGACAGAAAACACCCTGCAAATATTAACTCCTTTCTTTCCTGTATCAATAGTAGTAGTTAATATACCAATACCATCTTTGAGTTGCTTTTCTAGAAACAGGTGACCGACAGGAAATCTGTCATTTCCTTCAACCTTTAAAATCCTCTTAGATGGCTGCTGACGAGAATTCTTTTTTGTTTTGGGACCATACCTAGCAATGCTCAGGGGTTACTCCTGGCTCTGCACTCAGGAATTACTCCTGGCGGTACTTGGGTGATCATATGGGATTCCGGGGATCAAACCCAAGCTGACCAAATGAAAGGCAAGTGCTTACCCACTGTATTATTATTTGTACAGCCCCATTGTTGTTGACCAGATTGATGTATGATGTTAGCTTATATGCCACTAATTTCTGACTCAAGATGTGGTACAAATTAGGTAAAGCCAAACTGAAAGAAACATTTTGTAATGTACAAAAATTAAAAATTCATAGTGCCTCTTTCGTGTTTTGAGCCATATCCAGCAATGCTCAAGGGCTACTCCTGGCTATGCACTCAGGTATCACTCCTAGTGGGCTCAGACTGGGATGCCAAGGATTGAATTTGGGTCAGCTGCGTGCAAGGCAAGTGCCCGACCCGCTGTACTACCACTCTGGCTCTAACACAGTTCAAGACCCACAGAAATGTAGTTGTTTGGGAATCAATTTACAAATCTAATACTAATTCGAAATATCTTTAGCACCAGTTAAAAGAATAGTTTTGAGTTTTTGCAGTTAATTTCTTTCTGGTACAGCATTAACAGTTCTAAAAGTTAGGAAATGAGTTTTTTTTCAGGTGCTGAGGGTGTGTGTGTTGGGCTACTCCCAGCAGTGGCTCAAGGCTCATTCCTGGTAGTGCTCAGAGAACCTTCTGTGGTGGCCAGGACTGAACCAGGGCAAGCAACATAAAAGTCAAGTGCTTTAACCCCTGTACTATCTCTCTAGCCCCTGACACAGTAATCCTCTAAGGGCCTACACTGCTTTCAATGTGAATGTGGAAAAGACGAGAACTTGTTTGAGATACTGAGTTGCCCCATATTAAAACTTTCCATCAAGTATAATTAGATCTTGTTGGAACTGAACACTACAGTTGTTGGTTTCCTTAATAAGTTTCTTAGAAACTAAAAAGGCTTTTTTGGGGGAACAGTCTTGGGGGTGGAACCCAGGTCACACTGCAACCAAAGTATGTACTTTACCACTTTGAAATACTAAATTATTCAGATTTTTACCAAGCAAATCAAAAAAGCTTTTAAAAGGGCAGTATAAATTGCTAAAGCTTTTCTAGAATATTGTACAACCATATGTATGAAGACCCTTATATTTTAATACTTTTTTTAGTTTTGGGGCCACAACTGGAGGTGCTCAGGCCTTCCCCCTTATTCTGCACTCAGGGATCACTCCTGGCAGTGCTCACAGGATCATATGGGATGCCAGAGATTGAACCCAGATTGGCCATGTGCAAAGACAAATGCCCTACCCACTGTACTGGTGTTCTGGCTCCATATTTTAAATACACGTTTAACTCAAAGGAACAACTTCCATAAATTTATCACAAGGGAGTGATCAAAAAGATTAGGACACAGGCAAGGACTGTTTCCTGCAATTTTCATTATAGTTTTAAGGAGCTATGAACTCAGTTGCTAAGAACAGATATAACAGTCATTTAAAAATACTGTATAGGGCTGGAGCGATAGCACAGTGGGTAGGGTGTTTGCCTTGCATGCAGCCAACATGACCGACACAGGTTCGACTCCCAGCACCCCATATGGTCCCCTGAGCACCGCCAGGAGCAATTCCTGAGTGCATGATCCTGGAGTAACCCCTGAGCATCGCCGGGTGTGACCCCCCCCAAAAAATACTGTATAGCCATCTGCTATCTCCTACAGATAGTTAATGACATGGGAAAACTCAAAAAACTTAATATTAAAAAAATCAGACTATAAAACTATGATGAGTATGCAATAACCAACTGAGTACCAATTGAGTACCTATCCCTCTCTTAAAACTCCAAAACCAAATGCTTAAGTTTATTTATGCTACTCTAGTCACAGAGAATGTTAATGCTACTGTGGTATTATAGGCATAGAAACTTTATATAAATTTAATTATGAACACATAATTCCAGAGCAAAGAGGACTAGGAGAATGCTAAAGAAATACCGTTTCTTTCATCTGGATCTGATTGATCTTTATCCTAAAAAGTTTGTGTTTGAAGTCATCATTACAAATGAACTTGTCACCATCTTCGATATCTTTGCCTTTTGGATTTTTTGCCAGAACTCTGGCTTTGCCACAAGCCAATGACTGTAGTGTTCTCCGTAATTCTCCATCCTCTGAAGAAGAAAGAGGCTTAATTACTTTTGTTATTAGCTCATCAACATGAACAGCTACAGTCAACCTCCATCTATCTATTCCCCCATTCCTCTTTTAAGTGTTTCTGATTTCCCTCAAGGTCACTAAAGACTTTCTCTTTGTTCCATCCAATGCCTTTTCTTCCTGGGTGTCCTCTAAACACTCCAATGATCATTCTAAGTAGGTAATTATTAAATCTCAAAAAATGACATCTCACTTCTTTTAGTTCCACATTTGGGAGTTGTTGGGCCACACTTGACAGTGCTCAGAGGACCATAAATAGTGCTAGGGGTAGATTCAGAATCAACTGTAAGTAAGGCAAGCACCTTAATCTCTGAACTCTCTAGTCCTTCAGCTCTGCATTTAAAAGACACCCTGAACCTGGCTGATTTAACAACTACTCCAATATGTACAAGATTTTATTAATCATTTTTCCCATGAAACCCCCACAACACTGTGTCCTCTTTTCAATTGTTATAGCCCTGGAATAATCACTTAAGGGGCTTGGATTACACACAGGGGACCATATCGTGCCAAGGACTGAACCTGAGGTCCCAGCATAGAAAGCATGTGTTCCAGCCCTTCAAATCATATCTGCGCACCCCGGAATCATCCACCATGTATCCAGTAGTTACTTCCTTAGAAATGTCTCTTGTTCATTTTCACTGGCCTCACTCTAGTCTAAACCCCCTTATTACATCTAAATTACCAAGTTAAACTGTGGACAGAAATCTCCTCATGCTCAAAACTGTCCTCCTGTATATCCCAGACTAGTCCAAACAGTTTATGTTAGACATTTGAGATGTAATAATGCGGGTTTATTTTGCTATGCTTACAAGGTTCTTCACATCTTGCCTAGGCTAGGAAAATACTTCAAAAGGCTGGAGGGCAAGCCTTACAAATGTGTGAATCCTAAATTCAACTCTGGCAGTGGACTAATCAATCCCCACTGGATGTTTTCCCCCCTCAAAACATTTTCTTGTGACTGTCAAAACATTGCTCATTCCTATCTCCAAAGTGTTTTCTTTCAATATTTCCCTTTGTGGCTATGCCTCCTGTTTAACTAAAGCTTGAAGGCCCAATTTAAGATTAACTTCCCTCATGGATATTGTTCCTATTGTGCCAGTTTACAGTGTTCTCTTATTTGTGGAATTTGGGGGTGGGGAGTGGGCCACAACCAACAGTGCTCAGACTGTGTGGTACTGGAAATTAAACTAAGTCAGGTGCACGCAAGGCAAGCACTTGCCCCTGTACTGTTTTGCCAGCCCCATATACTCCAGGAGTATATGTAGAAACCTCGATATACTATAAGTAGGCACCACAGATTAGTATGTGGTTTAAAAATTATTCTAATGTCATTTCCCTCTTATCCCATAATTCTATTTACAAGATTGAGAACATTATTCCCTCATACCCCTTAGAGCTCTTTTTTGTTGTTTTATTTTTATTTTCTTTTTTTAAAAATTTTGTTGAATCACCGTGAGAAAGAAAGTTACAAGCTTTCATGTTTGGGTTACGATCACACAACGATCAAACACCCATCACCTCCACCAGTGCACATTCCCCATCACCAATCTCCCCAGTATACACCCCCTCCCCCCGCCTCCATGGCAGACAATATTCCCCATACTCTCTACTTATGGGCATTATGGTTTGCAATACAGACACTGAGAGGTTATCATGTTTGGTCCATTATCTACTTTTGGCACACATCTCCCATCCCGACTGATTCCTCCAGCCATCATTTTCTTAGTGATCCCTTCTCTATTCCATCTGCCTTCTCCCCTCCGCTCATGAGGCAGGCTTCCAGCTATGGGGCAATCCTCCTGGCCCTTGTATCTACTGTCCTTAAGAGTACAGTGCACATAATGTACACCGAATGCTTACTCTTAGATTGATTTAACACAAACCTATTCCAGTAGCCTGCTTGATTTCTTCTAAACTGAACTCCTCTCCCTCATTAAACATTAGCAGCACCAAAGTTTGGAAGAGAGAGACCTGAAGTTCTTTTTTCCCCTGTTGGAAAAACAGCAGTGTTTAGACATTTTTAAAAAGCACATGAAATGTTAATCAAATACCTAATCTCTTACAGGAAAAGCATTATTTTAATTGGTGGATTTAGAAACATGGATTAACATAATCCAGAAAAGCCAGTATGTTCAGTGTAAGGTTTAAGTGTGATCTACCCAAAATAGGGGGATGGGCTGAGTGAGAGACCTTTCTACAAGTCTTTTATTAAACCTAAAAATTAAAAGAGAACACAGTAATAAAAATTAATAATGATGTGTCATCATAGACATTTATCTATTTCAAATGCATTTTCTATTTGCTTGCATCCAATTACTCATAAAAGGCTCTACGAATTTTTAGAATTAGGTATGGGAGATGTTCCCCTAACACAAATCTATTCTCTAGATGCCAGCAACAAGTTGTGTATCCAAACATTATACATCTAGAGGCAGGTAAAAAAGATGGAAGGAAAGGCTTTGTGGTTTTGCAGCAGGAACATTGAATTATGGGGAAAAAATCACACTCAGATTATACACAAAACTGCGACTATCAGCTGTCATGCAGATATTTAGGATACATGTATAAAACATCTTAAACCTTGGACTCAAGAGGAATGCCTTCAGCATCAAAGATGAAGGTGTACTTTAAATTTTGGGAACATCTACTTACTTCTTTAAATTCTGCTTTTAGTACACAGTGGCCGAGGGTTGACTGCCACTGAAGTTTTCGGCCACTATGTTTACCCAGATAAAATGTCTTAAAAATCTCCTGAAGTTTTACCATCTGCAGTGAATAAAATAAAGGTCTGTTTGAACTCTGTATACAGTATCACATTCATTTCATCCATACGTTCATAAACATATAAATATCCCTTGATTAATAGTATCTGGAAGTTTACAAGACTATATAATTTGCTCCTGACCACCACTGGATGTGTCCCTAAATGCTCCTAAACGTTAAAATAATGGACTACATATGTAGCAGATCCACCGATCATTTTGTTGTGAGGTAATGATCTCACAACCACCAACATCTAATAGTATTTATCAGTGTGCATACTCTTAGATAATTCTAGAACAGTCTATTCAAATTTCTGAAACTGGATCATTTCTAAACATTCACCTCTGGTGGTATTTGTGCCTCTAAACCTGCTGTTCCTTGACCTCATTTCTCAACTGATTTCTTTCACAGGTTTCTCTTCCTACCACCTGAGAAAAATGGGCAGTTTCTAAGTTTTGTCTTTCTTGTACCTTTCAAAATAAGCTGTTTTTATGTTCATCTCCTTTTTTTTGCTCTTTTGGGTCACACCTGGCGATGCACAGGGGTTACTCCTGGCTCTGCACTCAGGAATTACCCCCAGTGGTTGCTCAGGGGACCACATGGGACGTTGGGAATCAAACCCGGGTTGGCCGTGTGCAAGGCAAACGCTCTACCCGCTGTGCTATTGCTCCAGTCCCTCATCTCCCCTGTTTTTGAGGGAGATCCACTTCCTATACTTATAAGGCCATCACCATGGAGTATTTTCAATCTTACTCTAGTATTAACCCCTTTTCCAGGCTTCAGTTCTGATAGATTACTAAAATACCCATCCTTTATCAAATCAAAACCACCCAGGCAACCATCTGGGAAAAATAAAAGATGAGTCAAGGAAAGTGGTGCTGAACTGCGAGGTTTGAGTTTTTTGGTAGGCTTTTTGGGCCATTCTTCGCATGCTCAGGGGTTACTCCTGGCTCTACACTCAGAATTACTCCTGGCAGGCATGGGGGACCATACTGATGACAAATAATTGAACCCAGGTCAGCCACATGCAAGGCAAATGCCCCCCCCCCCCCGCCATGATACTATCACTCTGGCCCTGAGCTGGGAAATTTGGCTTAATAAAATATACTCTAATTAAATGAGAAGAGAGAAAAATACGAAAACAATGGTATTTGGTGGTAGTACACTTTCAAACACAAGGGCATTTACTATTTATTTGATGATAAGCCAAAGATAAATACCATGTGCTTCGTCTGGGTGTTTTTATTCAAAACCTAGACAAACATCTTACCTCTGGTGGCAAATGAACTTCCATAGGCACATAAGTTGGCCAATAACCCATTGTCAGGATATTCACAGTTAACTCAATATTTCCAGGTACATTCTGATTCTGCATATACTGTAAGAGGATGAAAACACACACTGGTCTTAAAAAAGTGCATCTATGTCATTTCATAATGACCCATTCAAGAAACCCCCCTATTATAAAATCACATGCAAATACTGACCATTCTTAAAATACAAAGCAGCTATTAAAGTTACTGTAAATAGATGAAACCTATTATTAAGTACACAAGGAAAGCGCATTGGTTAACTTCCATTTTGTTTCAAATAGCACAAAAAAAAATCACCTGCCAATGTTACAGGTACTATTAAATAATTTCTCACATCCAGCTGGGCTGTACAGGATCTCTTCTCATTCCCCCCATAATACCACCTGTTTTGCCCACCTTTGGTGAACCCTACGGAACACCTTGCAGCAACCCCCATTCCTCAACCCACCAGCCAGACCAAGTCACGGGTCTTTCACTTGCTTCACTGCCTGTTTGCAAGGAGTGACCTGAAGTGAGGAAGGAAGAAGAGGGGGGAAAGGGCAGAGCACATAAACCCTGTTCTACAGCTACTTAGGACTATTCTGCAGCTACTATCGAACTACTGATAGTGATCTTGTTCCAGTCATCTTTTCCTACTCTTTTTTCTCACCTCAGCAATAGTAAATAAATCACTACTATAAGTCTGAGAAAATAAATCTAACTAGCCATCACTACTGCCAATACCCTTAAATATTTCAAAATTATCTTCTACCAACATCTTCAAAACTGTGGATAGAACTTTTCATTCCCAATGTCACCAAAGATCTTATATAACCACTTATAAAGGTAACAAAACCTTTTCTCTTCCCTCCCCACTGCCACCTCTAAACATGCAAATCGCCAACAGTAATTAGATACTGGGTAAAGCCTGTTCTCACAACCTAGCTACAGATTTTGCTCACTCAGATCTTAGTTTTATGTATTTTATTGCTATGCTTCTGTTATCTTGGGTGTAGACTGAGAATATATGCTGAATATACTCACATTTCATGGTTGATCTTTTTCTCTACTGTGAATATCATCTGAGTTGCTATTGAGTGTTACAACAAATACATGTTTTTATTTATCCTTTTCAGTACAAAACATAGTATGGAGGTAAAGAAACACATTTAAAATTTGAGGAATTAAGTAAGAGTTTAACTCACTTTTACCTGTTTGAACTGAATCATGATGTCTTTAGAAAGTTCCATGTCTTTAAACATTCCTTCAAGTTTGCTGGTAAAAGCAGCTCCACATTCTATTAAAGATGTTCATACATTTATAGTATTTTTAAGTAGTAGAAACAATATGAAATCAAAACATAAAATGTGAAAATTATGCTGGAATGAAACTTGACCTGCAACTATTCTTAAGAATAAGAAGAACCCTTACCTCAAAGTGTATGCCCCACTAATTTAAACTCTTTAATTCTGTTGTAATCTTATCTACTTTTATATAAATAATGATGATTTTATTTTGTTTTGGGGTTACACTCAGCAATGCTCAGGGCTTTCTCCTGGCTCTGTAGTCAGAGGTCACTCCTGGTGGGGTTCAAGGGACCATAGAAGGTGCAGGGGATCAAAACCAGGTTGACAGCATGCAAGGCATTTGCCCCACCTGCTTTACTATCACTCTGTCCCCTATTAATTATTTTAAAAGTAATGTGTACTAGGTATGTACAAGAGAGGTTGGAATTCTCATGACCTAATTACTCAATTTATGTTTTCATTGTATAAACATGTACTGACGACTAAAAAGGCAACCAATTGTTTAAAAGAAAATATTTTCCCTCAGTAATGAAAGAAAAGAAAATGAAAACATACCATGCTTAAGTTTGGAGAGCATTGATTTTTCAGCATCTACAGATGCACTCTTCCCAACTAACAGGCGTTTGGCTAAATCTTTCTTGTAGAAGGCTTCAAAAACATCCTTGCCTATATTAAATAAGAAAATACAACTCAAATATTCCAAAAATAGTTCTGAGAAAATTTCCTCAGAGCGCTTAATAGATCACATTACTTCAAGCAATATATATATGTATTTATCCAAGTTTGTTAAATGCAAAGAAAAATAAAATGGAGGAAGATCTTTTGTGCCTGACATTTCAGAAGACTCCTTGCTACAAAGAATTAAGATTGCATTAAATTTTCTTTAGAAAGCTTTAGTTAACCAATGACTTTGGTGTCAATACTCTCAATATTAAAACAAGTATCAGGGGGCCAGAGAGATAATACAACAGCTCGGACATTTTGCCTTGTATGTTCAATCCCCGGCACCCCATATGGTTTCCCTGAGTGTAGAGAAAGGAGTAAGCCCTGAGTACTGCTGGGTGTGTAACCAAAACATTAACAAACAAACAAAAATAAAACATGTAGCGAAAGTCAAGGTTCTTATAATGGATAAGTCAAAAGCACAAGATAATTAAAAAAAATTCCTTAAGAAACCCAATGAGGGACTGAAACAATAGCACAGTGGGTTAGGGTGTTTGCTTTGCATGCGGCCGACCTGGGTTCGATCCCCGGCATCCCATATGGTCCCCTGAGCACCGCCAGGAGTAATTCCTGAGTGCAGAGCCAGGAGTAACCCCTGAGCATCGCCGGGTGTGACCCAAAAAAAAGAAAAAACAAAAGAACCCCAATGAATTAAATAGAATTTTAAATCTCTAACTTCCAAATAAGCACTCTCTCCAGGTTCATTATACTTGCCAGTTTTTCTGTTGAGTGCTTTGTTTTGATAGAAAAATATCAAAACGAAATACTTACCATAGATAAATCTAAAAATGATCATAATCTTATCCAACATTTTTTCAAGTTCTTCATCTGTGGCTTCTTTGTTGCCTGCACGAAGCTTTGAATCTACATACTTAGCTAAAATGGGGAAAAAGTTTGTTTACTGATCACAGTATACATAGTCAAATACACTGGTATACAATATACTGTTTTTCAATGTATCAGATTATTTTTTAAGGCATGGTGCTGAGTATCACATATAGGGCCTCAAATCTGAACATAAGACTATTACTGAGCTACATCCCTGGGGCCTTGCTGCATATTTTTCCCTTGGTGCATTTTTCAGTCTCCAAAGACAGGGAGGAAAGGTCAAGTGACTACAAATGTCACTAAAATAATAAGTATCAAAGACTGAATTCAAATCCAAATCTCCTGATATTTAACATACCTTCTAGTATACTGATGCTCAGTAAAATGGAGTATGGGTACCCAGTATTTTGGAGGGTGGGATGGGGCGGGGTATTATATACATACAGCCCGGTGCTGGTGTAATCAGTCACTGAAGACATGGCAATCTTCTGGAGTGTCCATTTTACACTGATGCTAAGCAATCTTAAACATTAATTTTCTATTAAAACAAACCATATATATTACAAATGCAAAATTTCCCCCTAAATAGAAGGATTAGTAGGCCAACAAATTAATCTTGTTGACAGAGGACACTAGAGATCTCAGGTACCTCTTCCTCTGAAAATAAGGGACTGGTATTTGGATAAGAAAAACTGAAATGAACTTCAATGTATCACACCCTTCCACTAAATGGGTGCAGATCATTAGGCCTGTTTTTTTCCTGGACTTTTATTTCCTCAGTAACAATTATAATTGTTTTACTTTTTCTGGTACCCCTAAGACCACTCAGAAATAACTGCTCATCTCTAAATTATTATAGGATTAGAAAACAGGTATATCGAATTTATTACCAATAAAAGTAAATGGAGCCCAGTGTCATATTTTATATCAAGATTCTTAGAACCCATCAGGTTAAGCAACCCTGGATCAACTAATATACCACACCTTGCTAAAAATCCAGACTAATGCAATTTTATGAATAAAATAACATTAAATTACTAGAAAAGTACCTATAAGTTCTGCAGGTTTGTTTGGTCTTTTGTTAATAAATGTTTCAAATGCTTCTTTCATGGCATTGATGAATTTCTCATTCTTCATAAAACAAATATCGATTATGTGGTCCACCTTATCTTTAAAATCCAGCAATTCTTGAACCATGGTTTTATCTTTTTCTGGATTAATTACTATAGTGCTGCCAAATGCCTGAAAAACAAGTATTGTCATATCTTATTAAAATTATCTACAATCTCAAAATTTTAAGTTTTAATACGTATTTAAAATACCCAAAAAGTAAAATAAAGTAGCTTAGGAACTCAGAAAAATAAAAAACTATTTTGGAGTGAAAAAACTCCTAGCCCATTTACCTGCAATCACAAATATGTAAAGGAATGACCATGAGGCACATTACCATAATAGAGTATTATAAATATGTGGGCTCTGTTTTCTACTTTTGAAAAAGTTAAATTTGAAATTTAAAAATATAGCAATCTGGAATGAAGAAAATAATGAATTGCGGAGGGGCTGGGTTGGGCACACTTCCTGGCAGTGCTTGGTGGACATATGCAGTACTAAAACTGAACCAGAGTTAGCAGCATGGAAGTCAAGCACCTTAACATCTTTGAACTATCGCTGTGCTTCCACCCCCACAACAAAATTTTGAATGCAAAATTTGTTCTGTCCTATCCTATGTTCACATAGCTAAAAACTATGTCTGACATCAAGAAATGTATTTTGGGGTGGGTCACACCTGGCAGTGCTCAGGATTTACTCCTGGATCTGTGCTCAGAGATCATTCCTGGTGGGCTCGGGGAACATATTGGGTGCTGGCGATCGAACCCATGTCGGTCACATGAAAGACAAGTGCCCACCTGCTGTACTATAGCTCCAGCCCACAAAAAGGTAAGTTTTATTGTTGATTTTACCATGTAACCATCATTATTGGGTTAACTGTCCCCATTACTTAAAGAAAACTGGATCTAACAAGTAAAAAGTTTTGCTAATGTGGATTCTGGTATATAGATTATAAACCATGAGGCAGTGGGGAGGGATCACAGAGTAATAGACAATACCTTAATGTATTCAATCCACTGTTGCAAAAGAACCTGAACGCCACCTCGAACTCTACTGAAAAGTTGGTAGAGTAGAGATAATTCTTGAATCCGGTTTTCATCAAGGAGATTAGTTAAACCTGAATTAAAAAAAAAAGTGAGTCAAGATGTCAAGTATCTTAAAGAAAGTTAAAATTTTTATTGTAATACAGGTCTGAACTATAGTTAGTTTGTGGGTTTGTAGAGATTTGCTTTGAATGAAACTCAAATAATCACATTTTCGAGTTAAAACTAAAATATAACAAACTTAGTCCATAAAAATAATTATGTAACAGTTTGTGCCATTTTCAAGCCAGATCCGATGCATAAATCAAATTATAAAAACTCACTGACATAAATAGATATTATAAATATTTTATATATACAGGAACCATATCAGGCATTAGTATACAAAATTGTATCTCAAAGCATTCAATATGGCCTGTGGTACATTAAAGGCCATGCATTCATAGGCCAGCTTTAAGTGAGGTTCGAATATGTCTTGTCAGATTAAAAGAAATATATTTCAAAATAAAACACTAAAGTAACTATAAAATTGAAATATATTCGCTTCTACGAAAGAAAAAATATAGTGTGAAGGTGGACTCCTGAGATATATGTAGTATATAAATGATAAAGCAGTAAAATTTAAAACAAGGAAAAAGAAAAGGTGATTGGAAAGAAAGGTATCGCCTATTTGTGGCATTAGTAAAGTAAAACTCACATTATTCTGTAAGATCACTTGGGATTAGAGGAAGTGCTTGATTTTATATGCTACAAACAAGAACTGGTACAATAATGTCTTTCTTTACTGTGGTCTTACAAATAAGTCAAGAATTCTCAAACTTCTACTATTCTTTTGTTGGTATTGCTGGACCTTTCTGATCCCACTTATTAAGCTAAGGAAAGTCATGTCCTGAAAATTTACTGTGGTTTAAGAGGGGACAGAGAAGATTGTATCCATCAGCCACACGCTAGCAATCTTTTAAAATCTCTTATTTATAAACTGCCAATTACCTTTCTGGAGAATTGCTGCTAAGTGTTCACCTAGAAGTTGCTTTTCTACAGTAGCGATTAATGATTTCCTACAAGGAAACAAAGTTAGGATCATCGGCATTTGATTTTGCTAAAAATGTAAAGCCTGAGGATGTGGTGGGGGGCAGGAATCAAACAGTACATTTTATATTAATTTTAGTATTCCTATCCTATGTATAATTTGTGAGTTACACTCACTAGAAAATATGCATACTTAAAATTTTATTCACATCATGAAATTAATATTTGCGTGGTCATGCCATGACTGGATTTTTCCAAATGTATCTGCTTTTATTAGGAAGGTAAAGAAGTTATTTATGTTGCTTACAGGAACTTCTTGGTTGATGATATTTTAACAGAGCACAAAAGAGGCAGGGGATGTAGCTCAATGGCAGAACACATGTTTCACATTTATGAGACTGAGGTTTGATCCTCAGTACCCCCACCAAATAAGTAAAGGCAGCTTCTTTCATCACTGAATTTTAACTGGTGTGAAGATTTCAAAGATCAAATCAATCTCTACTACTATTTTAATATTCTATCCTAAACATATAGATCCAACCAATAATCAAACCCTTGATTACATCTTAGGGAAACAGCTATGTTTGTATTATGAAAACAACTGCTACAACCTCCAATCACACATCAAAATAATTACGCTTGCGGATGCTTAAAGTACCTGGAATGATTCAACAAGTCAGTAATACTTACTGGGTGGTCTGATCTAAGTAAGTAATAAGTCTGTCTGCTTCTTCTTCTAGACGTTTGTTAACATGATGAAGATACTCAGGAACCTACAACAATAACTTTTTGTATTAGTGTTTTCCTACCCATAAATCATTCAGAAAGTATCAAACCCAAATGACCCTGAAAGCAGCCTTGTCAAATACATATATGAAAATTAATGATATGTGAAAAAATTAATCATATATGAAAACTATGAGTAGAGTTTAGGATCCAGAATTCTAATTTTAAGAGGAGGGAAAAAAAAGGACTGCCTCACAATGTTGGGAAGATAAATGCAAAGGGGAGATTATGTTCTAGAAAGTGAGGTATAGGGCAGAGGTTGCCGAACTTATTTGGGCCTATTAACTTGTCCCCTTTTCAGAAAAAATCTATGAGTTAGGACTCCTCCAAAATACACCTTCTTTAAGTGGACAGTGCTTTCCAATTGAACCCGAGGCTACTATTCCCCCTAGTTAAGAATGGTAGTGCCCACTTTGGTAAACACTGCCTAAGGGCTGGGGAGATAGCTCAAAGGGCTGGAGTACATACCTGGCATCCACACAGCTGAGTGATCTTCAGTCACTGCCTGTCTTCCTAACTACCTCGGCCCTGGGGGGCCCCAGCAGCATTGGTGAGATCCCACCCTCCAAAACACATAAGGTCTATTGTGAGACAAAGTATATAAATCATGACTTATACATACCTCTCTTTCCTGCATCAGCTTTTGGCCTTCTGCTGCGTACAGCCTATTAGTTTCTTCCAGAAATCGTTGTTCAAAAGAATCTTGATAAATCTGGGAGGGCGATACAGAATGAAAAGGCTAACTTATTTATAAGTATCCAGAATATTCTCGCATCAACAGCATTATAACTGTAGTTCTTAAAATATCAAAATGGTAGGTTTTGTTTTGGGGTCACACCTAGGGAATTCCCAGGGGCTACTCCTGGCTCTGCACTCAGAATTACTCCCAGCAGTTCTGGGGGTATATGGGATGCTGGGACTGGACCCGGGTCGACCACATGCAAGGCAAGTGCCTTACCCGCTATACTACCACCCTGGCCCCTAAAGCAGCAAAATGGGTATGGCAATCAACTCTGTAGTATAAGAAGTGGTAAATTAACTTACTTGCAAATCAGAAAGCATGCTTAAGAGGCTTCGAAGCAAACTCCGGTCAATGGCTTCACCATTCCTTTCCCTTTCTATCAGGAGGAGAATGCCATCAATTGTCTTATTCTGGACTTTCTGATCACTTATAATATGGGCTCTAAATAACTCCAGACCCATATCCCTAAAATAAAAGATATAATATATGTTAATTGATTACAATAGCACTTCTGAAGAGGCTTAACTTTCTCAGTAAATGTTAATGAAGACTTTTGGATCTGAAGCAGCATTTGTAAAAGGATAATATCCACACATTTAATTTTAAGTAACATCATTAAAGCATGCAGGAAACTCATTTTGTCTTTAATGAGAACAGAAGCTAAATTCTGAGTTCCTACATAACTAAGTTTTATTATTTCTGTTGGTAGAGCTCTCCCATGGTCTAATCAATAAGGCAAAATTAGTTCAAACAAATAAAATGGTCTTCACTGCATAGGTACTGAAGGCTTAGTTGGTCATTTATCATCTGACTCAGTATTCAACAATAAGTATGCTCTGATAACTGCTTAATTAGATACTAGGAACATGGTGGAAGAGTTCATTAAATTAGTCTATTTTTGGTATATACATAGAATTTTCCGTAATGTTAACAAAATCACCAGATTAACAACAGCAACAAAATTCTACACACTCACATTGCATAAGAAACTATACTCTCATGGGTTAACAAAGAAATTTCATAAATTATGTATGCTTAGGGAATATAATGATCTTCAATACTGAGTTGGGTAAAACAATTAAGAAGGCAAAATTAAAATTCTCTAAGTTGAAACGTGAATTTTTAGAGAATATTTACAGTATTACTTTCTTCAGTAAGTGTAATTAAGGTTTAAGTATGATTTGCAACAAAACCTTTTTTATAATTTTCTGGCATCCTTACCAAATGGAGGGTAGCATTGAGTTCTGAAGAACATAAGTTCTATCCAGGAAGAGAAATATGCTCCTGATCATTATCTGCCAATGAAAAGGGAAATCAAACAGATTTTTATATATTGTGAAGCTGAAATATTTGCTTTTTATAATGCAAGAGTAAAATTTCAGGAATCCTTGGACATATACCAGACAATTAGAATGAAATATGCAAAGAAACACATGTACCTGAGAATATTTCTATACCATTTCGCTCAAGTATTTAACTTTCTCAATCCTTCCTTGCTACAGTTCCCAGAAAAGAGACTTAATATATTCTATGATTTATTTGCAACTTGAGAAGTAACAAAATAGTTAAAAGGGGATCAAAGGGACTTTCACACAATTCTTCCTTGCCAACAGTGCTGAGGGTTAAAGTAGCTTAAACTGTACATGTAGGGGCTGATCACATGGCTCAAAGGGCTGGAATGCAGGCCTTGCAAGCAGAAACCCCAAGTCCGATCCAGGCTCTCTTCAAACACTGCTGGGAGTGACCCCTAAGCACTGCCATTATAACTCAAAATCACACCAAACAAAAATTGTATCTATTTTTGGCGGGAGGAAGGGGTCAATTTTAAGATTTTACTCTGCAGAATGTAAGGTATAAAATAATCCTGGGTAAGAAAAAAATGCTGGGATCTGAATTAACTAAAATACAGAATCATTATGCATCTTCACAGATAACCCAGATAATGAACAGGATATCCATCAAAACTGATAAACGATAACTTTTTTTATGCTTTTTGGGCCACACTCACTGATGCTCAGGGATTTCTCCTGGCTCCACACTCAGGAATTACTCCTGGCGGTGCTCGGGAGACCGTATGGGATGCTGGGAATTGAACCCAGGTCAGTCGCATGCAAGGGAAACACCCTACCTGCTGTGCTATCGCTCCAGCTCCACGATGTAACTTTTAAAAATGAGACACTTTTTACGTTTAACTTAAGAGTTTTATCAACAAAACTGAGGCTCTAGTTCCAAACAAGAGCAAATACAAAGGGAACACCCTATTGCAAAGCTTTTAGAACATTCCTATGTTTGCTGAAATTTACTTTTACCTATTTAGAAATATGCGTTTTTCAGCTTACCATTTGTCTACAGTGGTTTTGCCAGCATCTATCAATCTTCTTTAAGAAAAGAACACTATCCAACGAATCCGTGAGCCAGGTTAAGGATATTTTAAAGTGCTTAGTGCAATTAATATAAACAATGTCAGATGGCATTTATTATAATCATGGACTACCATACACACTAAATATAACAAGCACTTTCTTATAAAACAAAATACTATTACCATGTAAAAACAGATCCCACTTAAAAATATCTTTAAGAGTAGTCTTAGACATAAGCATTGTTTTCTCAGCTTATGATTTCCCTTCGAAGTTTCTCTTCAAGTAAAAATGTTAGAATGAAAAGATAATTATGTAAGAATATCTTATTAACACTATTCACAATGTAGATTTTTTGGAACCATAACAAAAGCTGGAAAGTAAAAATTTATTTCTTCTCTAGAAAAACGAGCAAAAAAATTATAAAAAATTCAGGCATTCCATTTAAGCTGGAAATGAGGGTTAAGAAAGGAGGAAATAAAATCATAAGAACTATTGTTTTGAAAGGATATTCTCTAAACTGGAGAATTTGTGATTTGATGTGATCTTCACAAATCTGTCTCAGCTGTTTGTACAAGTTGGCAGAAATCTTGTAAGAGCACAGATTTTCCACAGCCTGCCAAGATTAAATACACGAATAAATATATTATAGTTATATAGGTTAAGAATTAGGAAATCAAGCAAAGTTCTCCCTTGTGAACACACCCAATTTATAACAACACACACATATAAAAGTTGTGTTAAATATTAGGAAAAAGAGATAGTATAGAGAATAAGGTGCATACCTTGACGTGGCTGACTCTGGTTTGACTCCCCCCGTATGTACCACAAGGCCCACTGAATAGCATCCTGTGTAGCCTCCAGAACCCTTGGGTGTGGTGCTTGATCACTGCAGCAGGGTCCCAAGCAGAAACCCATCCTTGGGCCCCCTTAGCTGAAATTCTCTGGCAAGGGCCTTCAGTCTCTGTAGCACAACTTGAGAGCCCCTCTCAAAGTTGTTTATCAGTAACAGAACTCCATTTTGAGTTTAAAAATCATAATTTCAACTTTTTGTTGTTTGGACCATACCCTGTGGTACCAAGAACTTAGTCTGGCTTTGCGCTCAGGGATCACTCCTGGAATACTTAGGGGACTATATGGGGGCCATGTACAAGGCAAATGTACTACTACCTGCTGCTATACTACTGCTCTAGGCCCTAAAACAGAAATAAATATTCTTGATTGGTAGAAGTAGTAATACTGAGAGTAAAGTATTATGCTTGCCTGGGTTTGATCACCAGCATTCCATAATGTCCCCCAGCACCCCATACGGTCCTGCAGCCCTGCAAGGACTGATTCCTGAGCACACAGCCAGGAATGAGCCATGAAGCATAACTGGATGTGGCCCCTCCAAAAAATGTTGAATGAGACTTAAACCTTTATTCTTCCCAATTCCAGCCCCTCCATCTAAATTTCACACATATGAAATAAAAAACATTTGCCTTTAAAACACTCAAGAGTGTCATGCTGAATTAAATGAGTCAGAAGGAAAGGGACACATATAGTATAACTGCATTTATTTGTGGGATATAAAAAATATGAATATCCAAGGCCAGGGAAAATGGGCAGGAGGACTGTTCAATGGTTGGTTGATGGTGTGGGACATGGAGGATAGTTAAGATAGAGGAGGATCCATTGTGACAATTAGTTGGAAATGATCACTCTGGACAAGAACTGAGTGTTGAAAGCAGGTAAAGGGATATACATGATAACCGTTCAGCATCTGTATCGCAAACCATAATGCCTAAAATGAGAGAGAGAAAGAGAAAGAGAGAGAAGAGAGGTGTCTGTCACAGAGGCAGGCTAGGGTGGGGAGGGTGGCTTGAGGGGATGGGAGGGAAACTGGGGACACTTATGCTGCAAAATTACACTGGTGAAGGGATGGGTGTTGGAACTTTGTATGACTGAAACGCAATCATGAACAATTTTGTAATGCCTGATGTCACAGTGATTTAATAATAAAGATAAAAATAAAAACATTCCAAAGAAAACAAACATGAAGCAAATGAAACACAAAATTATAGTCGGTGACCATGTGATGCTTTGGGAATACAGGATTTAAGAAACAGTAACAGCATATAATAATCCACTTGGGACAAGGAAAAGAATGGGGGAAATGAAGGTAAAAATAAAGTATAAACAATTAAAATGACGACAAAAATATAGAGCACAAAAAAATTTTTAGCGCAGTAAAGGAGGAAATCTAGAAAATTTTCTGATTTAGCACTATACAAAAATATACTACATTCCCACCAGGGTGTGCCAAACACTGGTCATTGGTACAATGAGTTAAGTCTTAATTTTCAAACCACATATTTAAAGAAGGAAAAGCACACACCCCCAAAAGAAAAACCTCTAAAAAACCTGACAAAGCAGTAAAATCTAAATGGCCTCTTCATACTTACTAATAGCTGAAAAAACATAGTTAAACTACTTCAAATGCTACGAAGTCATATGAAGGAAACCACAAAACGAAACCACCTTTTTTCTTTCTCGCTTGTAATAAAGAAGGGTTTAAACAAGACAAATTATCAAGGACTAAGAATTTGTAGTTTTGGTTCCAGAAAAAACAGGACAGAGTGTAGAGTGTCTGCTTTGCATGCAGCAGACCTGGGTTCAATGCCCAGTATCCCACACAGTCCCCTGAATCTGGTTAAGAGTGATCCCTGAGCACCACCAGATGTGGCCCAAAAACAAAACAAAAAAGAAGCAATTTGTAGTTGTACGTATTTGTAAATCAGTAGGTATAATATTCACAATTCAGTGAAAAGAGGAGCAAGATATAATATGTGGCAGATGAAGCTAAAAATCAAGAGACACCAGTTATACAAATTTACATAGAATAGGTAGTCATATCTGCTAAGCATCTATTTTACAGTCAATGACCAGTTATGCAACCATATTTTCTATGATAATAACCTATACTAAGATAGACACACTATTTGTTTGCAGTATTGTGGTCATCTATTCAATGATATATCATTACTAAAGAGGTTCATTATCTAGTATTTCACAAAAATATACAAACATAAACTCCCATTATTAGACTAAGCCTGTCTTCAGAAATAATAGCTACATATAAGAAAAAATGGAAATCCTGTCTTTTGCTACATGTATGGAACTGAAGGGTGTTCATGCTAAGCAAAATAAGTAAGAAGGAGAAAGACAAATACCAGGTGATTTCATATATAGTATATAAAGAAACAAATTCTTAGGACTCTAACTACAGAACTAAAGTTACCAAACTAAGGTGGGGGTGGGCTGAAACGAACTGATGGACTGTGATAGATGGATACTGGCAAGTTTGGTGGTAAGGTAATGTAATATTACCATATTACAGATATGGTAATACTGTACCCCTAAAACAAACATTTGCACTCTTTGTAAGCCAGACTACAAAGTGAATTAAAGGCATAGAGATAGCTCAGTGATCAATGGGCTAGAATGCAAAGATTTGCATGTAGATGCCCTGGGTTAGCTCTAGCATTGCACGGTCCATCAGTTCCCAGCACCACAGGGATGCCTGGATTACAGAGCCAGGAGTAGCTCAAGCACTACTGTATGGCCCAAAACAAAACAAAAAAGACTGGGGCCAGGGAGACAGAATAGCATGCAACCACAATCAATCTGATGTGACCCTGGCACCATTATCTATTATCAGAGTATCAGCAAGTAAAGCTCTGGGCTCTCCACTACACTTCTGGGTGTGTGGGCCCTTGGCATTGCAGGTCCCAAGCAGCAGTGCATCCTCAGGTCCTAGCAAGGTTAACTGACAGAGCATCATGGCCCCTGAGCCCCCTGGAACAACTTGAGAGTACCCCTTAAAATATGGACACTTGGACACTTGTACTGAGAAAAAAGATTATACTTTCATATTCAAACTAACTTTGTCTGTTTCTCTGCTTGCCTGTTTCTACTCTGGAGAAGCCTGTGCTCTCTTGACCACTCACTTCTCTCTCCCTTCACATCTAAATAATTTTCAATAAAAACTGTCTTGCTTCACCAAAAAATCAGTACACTTAAATCATATTCCTAACAAACAAGCAAATAAACAACAACTAAAAAACCCAAGTCTAAATAATTATATCATTTCAACAGTTTCAACGAAAGGTAATTTTGAAACTCAGGTAGAATGCTAATCTAAAATCAACTGTAAACGATGTTTATCACAACTGCACTATACTAGCTTGTGTAGAAATAAAAAACTTATTAGAGGAAGTAGGGCAAAAGATAGGATAGCGGTTAGGGCTTCAGTCTCAGTGCCACATGGTCCCCCCATGCCATCATTGTGTGCTGCCATGGAGGCCCCCATGAAATCTGTTGTTTTCCATAAATAAACCTCTTATAACACTTAACTTATAAATTAGATATAATGATATATTAACAGCACCTAATAAAACAGGCCAATTAGACAAATGCATGGTAGCAAAAGTTATCTATAGTTTTTTTCTCTCAAAATGCCTTATTTTCCAACTGCCTTTTCCATGGAGCAAACCAAGGATTCCAGACACACTATGCTACATCCCTGGCCTATCAAAATATCTTACTGTACTAATATATTCAGACCTAAGTAGACTGCATGTAACTGAAACTAAACCATGAATAAGGGGGAAACTACTGTATGCCAATTAAATGTTTACTCTAGTGTTTGAGAATAGGATGTGGGAATACAGAGTTTGTAGAACTTTTATTAAGTATACTGCATATTTCTATATTGCTCTCTTAGGAGAGTAATTTAAAATTCATCTAGTCAAAATCAAACAAGCAGCTGGAATCCACAGGGTAAAAATAATTTTACCCCCTATATCCTTTGTGAACTTGAACATCTCAAGAATAACCTCTCTCACAAGAATCCAAGGAAGTATTTATAAGCTTTATGGTTAAGAAGAAAACAATAAAAACTAAAAACGTGTGCTTCTGAAGTTACTTGAGCAGAAGAAATAAAGTACGAAGAAAAATGTAAAGTGGAAAAAACTTGACTATTGATATTAGGCTGAAGAAGTGCAACTGAACAATAGCAGCATTAATTCTCACGTATGAGAAAGAAAAAATAGCAAAGTATGTGACGAGCACTTGAAACAGGAATTTAACAGAAATTTATCATGAGAATTTTTTTAAATTAAAAGCTCTGGGAAAAATATTAAAGTAAACAGTACTGGTTAACAATCATGATCAAAGATCTAAATAGAAAAGTTTTACATTACTGAAATTAAAGATGCTGCAACACTAGCATAGCCAAATAAACATTATACATGTACAATTGGGAAAAATTACTTTCTTTGCAAATAAAGATAACTTTTTTCCTAAAATAATTTGCTTCGAACAAGTACTGAAGTGCAGTCTAGTAGTGAGGCAGTATGGTAGTGAAAGTGCAGTGGACCAGCAACTTTGGTATCAGTTTGAGTCCCTCTGCTTGGTCAACAAATGACAGGGCATGTTATTTAACTTGCCTAAGACCTTGTCAAGTTTCCTCGTTATTAGGAGTGTGGATAATAACTACGACCCTGTCTACTTCATGAAGGATTCTGTAATGTGTGATATATAAAAATAAACTGACTTGCAGGTTGTAATGAGGGAGAAGATATTGGACTCTTGGATCTCTTAAGGATCTTCAAACTCTTAATTCCATAATTCTGCTTTTATGATTGAACCACCCAGGAGTCACTTATGTAACATTATTGCCAAAAGAGGTGGGCTTTATCCTTAATAGTAGTAATGTTACCTGACACTTAGATAGGATTATAATGCTTATTACAGTAGATAGTTTTATTAACTATGTGTTGGGCATCACTCTGAGCATTCTGCATGTCTTGACTCACTTATTTTTCAAGCAACAGACACTGGTCATCTCAACTGACATATTACAAGTGAAAATGTCACACTGGGGTTTATGAGATAGTATGGTGACATCATTTTATGTATTATACTGCTGCCCCATGTTTTTCCACAAAGCTTGCATTTGGTTCTTCTAAGCAACCACAAAAAATAGAGAGCAAGTATTCTTTCCCTTATTTTACAGAGGAAACTGAAGCTGAGAACTTCAGTATTTTCAAGATCACAAGGTAAAGGAGACAAAATTAAATATCAAACTTGTCTTGTGACTCCCAGTCTAAGATTTGTCCATCACTTCTAGCACGCAAATAAACTGATGAAAACTATAAATTATGATAAATTACACTAATATAATAACTTAAGCTATTGAACTCTTAAGTATGTCTTATATGAAACTGCTGCAACTATAAAAAAAAGTGACAAAAATACAGAAAGGCAAAATACCTTTGTAGAAAAAAGTTTCAATCAGTAAATCAGCCCTATGACCACAGGGAATACATTCCAATATACCTAGTGGATACCTGAACAACTCTTCCCAAAATAAAGAATAAGAAAAAAATGACAAGAGACTACTAATAAAAAATTAAATGAAACATATGGAGAATATCTGAATACATTGAAACTTTGGAGCAACATTGCAATAGCAATAGAAATCATCTTTGGGATCTACGCTACAGTACTGCATTAGATGATGTAAATCTTTTATTTTACAAAGTATTCCAATTATAAACCATAACCAGAAGGATTCAAGAAAAAGTACAATTTATGCCATGATACTGTACCTTTAGTTTGTGAGAGATCGTGGTCCGATTATGAAAAAAAGAATAAATTGTGAAATTAGAAGGAGATCAAACATCTACTAAAGCATCTTACTTTTTTGGAATGTATAATCCAAATACATCCCATTCTATGCTTATACTTACCTGATAAAGTTCTTCTAAATTGTATTTAATCGAAGTACTATTCTGGATAGCTTCCACTGCTTCTTTTAATTTATTCCATGTTTCATCTGTGTAGTTTTCTGGTAATTTAGGCTTATCTAGATGACATATAAAAGCACATATGAGAGTAGGATACAATAATGGAATGTCCCACAAAATATAGTAAGCTAACTGCCTTTTAAGGTTAAATTGTGATCTTTATAATAATTATGCCTAAATATTAAAGTAATTGCTATATCAAACCTTAGTATAAAGAATAAAATTTGAAATGCCACAGTACTGCTCAAGTCATTTGGGCTTACCTATTAAAATAAATGACTTTCTCTATTAAATATACCACTTCAAAAAATGAAAATCGAAGAGTAAGTAACAGGCAAAAATAGTCCCCTCTTATTATAAAACTTAAATCAACATGAATTTTGTGCGTGGCATTTAAAATATAAAATGCTCACAATGCTAAAAGTATCTTATAAACATCTTAGTTTCCCTAATACTGTCCTCGGGAAGGTATTAATAATTTTACAACTGAGGAAACTGAGGCTGACGCTTTTAGTAAGGTTTGCCCCCAACAGCCACCATAATCAGTCTTTAGCAAAGCTGGGATCTCCAATCCATCTATCTGACCCCAAATTTTGTAGCATATACAGAAATGGAAATGTAAATCTTAAATCGGGCTTTACTTTAAACTACATACTTAAACATAGCAAAATAAAAAAAAATAAAAACACTCAAATGACTTGAAAACCATGTAACATCTTTAAAATGGAACAAAACATGCAATACTGTGCTTTAATGTAAACTTTACTGGCAGCAATGAGTGAAATTTTTTTAATTGAAACATCCAAATGTCTTAATGCGCTTTTATTTTAGGAGAAAGAGAAAAAATACCTATGGAACCAGTTTGCAAATCTAATTACGAGCATAGTTTGTCTCTTTAAAAATCCTTGATTATATTTTCAAGTGAAACAGTGTAACCATTAGCCAATTACAATTCATATTTACTTAAAAGTGGTCTATTATCAAATCAGAAAGATTACACCACTTTTGAGAGTCTGGGGATGGGAGATAGAAAAATGGTTAAAAACAAACAATACTATAACCGCCTGCTTAAGACAAAATTGAGATTACTCCTGATTTTCACACTGTTGAAAATACAGCATGAAAATTCTACTTTTTTCTATACTAACAGTTATAAGGCAGTTGGTAAATATCACTTTAGTTCATTCATTTACTTCTCCATTTAATAAGCATTTCAGAATAAACCTGTCAGTTTAGGATGCAAGCAAAGTCAGAGAAAGAGAAATGCAACAGACAAAAATTGTGTTCAATTGTGTTCTTAGTTGCTGATTTTCTATTTGGCTCAATAAATTTATAATGCTCTTAACCACATATCTAAAACTCAGAATGAACAAAATTTCCTCAAAGCTGCAGGTCAGTACTTTTCCCCAGTGGTCAAAAAAATAGATGTAGCCATCCCATCCTATCTTTAGACTAGTGCTACAAAGAGTTACTACTTTTATGTCCACAGTATTTTTCATTCCTAAACTCTACCTTTGGAAAAAAATAAGAAATAATTTCCCTAAATACTGTTTTGGTAATGAGTTTCAAGAATTCAGTATTCGACACCATAAATCTATAAATTTTTGATTATCACATGATTTACCACTGTTACCTGCATTTCTAGGGACTGGAGAACATGCCTTTTGAAGCATAAAAATAAAATAAAAACCAACGACAAGGTTCAGTGTGCACCTGAAATAAACCTTTAGAGTGCAAATTTCTCACCTGTAAAATCCAGATCAACCATACCAAGAGTCAATGTTATACGAAATAATATGCAAAGACAGAATTTGAAATACTGCACAGAAACACCCCGCGTATGCTTCAACACAGGCTTTAGCCACCCCCCTGAAGGTACCCTCTACCCACAAAAGTAACCCTCTTCACCTCATTGATTATGCATAAAGCAGCATGCCATCTCTATACTGTTAAAACATATTAACGCAGAGCACGTGATAACGCAGGTGTCAAATCCTTAGTACGTGATTATGGATTTTGGCCATCGTTACCTTTAAAGTTCTTGATGACTAACTTCTTAGCCGAGCCCGGCTTGCTGCTAGCAAAACTAGAGACGGTGGTAGCTTTGGTTAGGCCGTTTGCGTGATGCACCGAAGACACAGATGAGAACAGGTTCTTATTTTTAAGTTGCTGCTGCTGAGATGTTGCAGCAGTGGGTGAAGATGAGGAGGAGGAAGAGGAGGATTCCTCAGCCATCTTCGTATCAAACCCTACTAACTCCAGGGTTTCGTCAAAACGGAGCTTCTTTTGTACCGGTGTGTGGCTGCTAGAAGCCACTGAAACTCCGAGGCAGGCAAAGGATGAAGTGGACGGGGAGGCAGAATCTCTCTGTTGTAAGGGAGGAGTGGAAGAGGACGAAGAGGCGGAATCAAAGTCTTCTCTCTCGTTACTACTGTTACTGCTACTGCTGTTTAACTTTCTCTTCTTGGCAGAGGTGGGCGGAGTGGCGCTGGTATTACCATCAGTGGCAGATCTGACCTCCTGTGCAGCAGCAGCAGTTGAGGTACTGGGGGAAGAAAAACCTGTTGGAAACATGAAAATAGCGGGGTCAACAGGCAGAGGAGCATCCAAAACCTACGTTTATATGCCTGCGTGCGTGAAAGAGAGGTGGTGGCAGTGGTAGAGGGGGAAGGGAAGAAAGATGAGAGGAGAAACACAGAGGACGAGAGGAGGAAAGTGAAGAGGGGGAGGGTGCCAAACCGGGAATGGAGGTTTTGGGAGGCGGTAGGCTGAGACCCGAAATGAGCAGAACGAAGGGGGGACAGCTACTGGGGCGGCAGGCAGGTAAACGGCCGTGCTGTCCCCCTCCTCAGCTTTCCGGCCTCGCTCCCCCCTATCTGCAGGAGCGACTCAGTGAGTCAGTAGCTCCTCCTCCTTTTCTCCCTCTCCCTGGGAGGGGAGCCGCCGTGGTGGAGGGGAGGGGGTGGGGGAGAGGAAGCCCGGCTTGTTATTGTCAATAGCACGGGCGAAAAGATGGCGCCACTTCCGGTCACGAGGGGCGGCGGGAGGGGCGGCGTCTGGCCGGGGAGGGAGGGGAGGGGAAGCGCTACGGGCGCCGAGGGACGGACTCGTGGGAAGGCGGCGGGAACCTGGCCGTGAAGGCGGACACACCGCTCCTCCGCTTCGGCTCGCTCTCCCCAGCCACTCCCGACCCCGCTTCCCTTCCCGCGGCGGCACGCTCCGCTCGCAGCCCACCGGCAGCGCCCACCCCCTCCGTAACGGTCCCGCGGGGAGCTTCGCGCCGCAGCGCCCTTACCGGAAGTGACTGTGCAGACACTTTTCATAGCTCCCAGATCCAAGCCCCCAGGTCCGCAGGATTGGAGTGGGGGGGTAGAGTGGGGAGGGGGAGAGCGGGCAGGGAGGAGGCGGGCCTTCCAGACACCTTTGGAGCTCCCGATTGGAGCCCTCGGCACACGACGGGGGTGGGGCGGCGGAGGAGGTGGCGGGAGAAGGAGCGGGAAGGAGCCTAAGGGGGAGGGTTTAGGTGACGGCGAGGGGCGGGGTGAGCTAGCTGGGAAAAAAAGAGGAGGAAGAGGGACGAGTAAAAAGTCAGGGAAGGGAGAATGGAAACTTTGAAAGAGATAAAGGGAACAAGGAGGGGCTGGTTCTAAGAAGAAGGGAGTCAAGCAAAATAGAAGAAAACAATCCTGCCATTATGCCTGCATCTAGGGAGGGATGTTAAGATAGGAAAGAAAAAAGAAAGAGTTTAGGTAGAAGAAAAGAGTTTCTGTTCCATCGGTCTATACCTTATTTCTTTTTTACCTTATTTCTTCTTTGTCAACCAAGGATATCACTGACAAAATACTGCACAGGGCCTGAGTTTGTTAACTTTTTCTCAGCAATGTTACTTGCGAATACTATCACCTTCCTATCAAAATCATTTTCTAAGATGGCTGGCCAGAATTAGGAGTGCTTTCTAAGGCCAAGAAGCTGGAAAGTAATTAATACCACCCCCCCCCCCCAACACAGTTCGGACTACCCCTAGCCCAGTAATTTGCAGACCAAGCAAAACTGAAGACCCACTTCTTTTTATCAAATCTCAGTCCATACACTTTGTTTTCAAAAAAGACATTTTGTAAGAACAGTATGAGCAAAGTGAACGCAGGTTTTAAAATAAATTGCTCATGACAACAAACCTCTAAATTTGGATAACACTGAAAAACCTTTAAACTGTTTTTAACTAGTCCTCATTTGGAGGGAGCTGGAGAATCCAATGTAACAGAGCTTACCAACTTGTAGATCATTTCATCTGTAAAAACATTGAATAGAGTATGTATTGGAAGAGTTTGCATACCAGAAAATACATATCCCTGCCCTTGAGAAGCCAGTGGGGGAAGATTCAAAACTACTTTCTAGGGACCAAGGCTATATATAGCTCAAAAGGGGGGCATGCTTTGTATGCAGGAACCCTGATTTGACTCCTGGCACCCCAGTCTGAGCAGAACCAGAAGCAACCCGAAGTATTGAGCCAGGAGTAGCTCCCAAGCATCTCAGAGAATGACCCAAGCCCCCTCCCCCATACCATTAATTTCCACATAATAATTTTATATAGCATGATGTTATATAACATGACAACATATAACAATAATTCCACAACAACATGCTATAGGAACTGGGAAAACAAGAAATGGGGGAGGGATTTTGAAATCTTTTCACAGAGGAATGAATGTTTGTTCTGGGTCTCACAGTGGATGTTTCAAAAAAAAAAAAAGGAAAAGGAGGGAAGAGGTTGAAAGGCATTTTCCGCAGTGGAAACAAGCAAAGCAAACGCAGGTTGTGAAAGAACTTGGCCTGTCTGAAAATATGGAAAGTAAAATAAAACTGGAAAGTAGGTCTTGTTAGAAGAAGAGACGCTCATGAGTGTCTGGAACAATGAACCCCAGAAATGTGGAATCCACACTAGCAAGGAGATGAGCTATGCAAGCTGGGCTTTTAAGAGCAATGGAGAACTAGTCTCCCATAGAGATGTACAGGGGTGCGCGCCTTGCATGTAGTCCACTGCAGTTTGAGCCCCCATAACCACATATGGTTGCCCGAGTACTGTCATGAGTGATTCCTCACTACTACAAGATATGGCTGCCATCCCTACCCTCCTCCCACAAGCTATAAAATGAGAACAAAGGAGTGGGGTCGGGTATATCATTCAAAATGGTAGGTCCTTGGTTAAATCCCCAGCACCATTAGTTTCCCACATCCCCAGCACAGCCTGCTGTAGCCCTAAACACCTCACAGTTCCACAGCACAGATACTGCCGCATGCCCCGGGAATACTAGACAGCCTTGCTCAGTCTCTCACTGCAGCCTCACCACCCACCCGCCACACACAGCCCCCTACTGCCACAGGGCAGAGCAACTGAGTATGGCTAGCAATCCCATGCACTACACGCAGGGTGCCCACCACAGCACCTGGGAAACTCTTAAGGCCACTTTACAGCAGGGCCTGAGTACCACTAGCAGGCCTAAACTCTGCACAGACCCCACACCACAGTTCCTCAGATACTCACAGTACCTCTTTGCCAGGCTGGAGCACCAGAGAGCCTGGCACTGCAATGTGAGACTACCAGAACCCAGCACCTCCAAGGCCACTGCACCGCGCAGTTTGCACCACACAGTTTGCTCTGCCTACCATCGCCTGGCATTGGTGGGAGTGGCCCAGGGATAACCCACAGCCCCAGCATTGGTGGAAAAGGCCCCTTTTTCAAAGAATGTAAGAAAGTGACAGGACTGTGGGCGGTGTTATGCTCTGGGATCCCCAGGCAAGGCAGGCTTATACCACATTGTATAGTTTGAGACAGAATCAGAAGGCTAAGAATAAATCACAGGTCCACTTATTTTTGTCCTATAGTCAAGAAAACACCTGAACTGAAATGAATATTCTTTGGGGTCACAGCATTAGTGCAGCAGGTGAGGTGCTTGCCTTGCACGTGGCCGGCAGACCTGGGTTTGATCCCTGACACTCCATATGGTCTCCCAGGCCCACCAGAAGTGATCCCTGAACACAGAGCCAGAAGTGAGCTCTGAGTACCGCAGGATGTGTGTACTCAGAAACCAAAACTAAATATTCTTTGGCCAAAAGAGATAGCTAAAAGGGCTGAGCGCATGGTCTGCATGCCAGATGCCTGGGTTCAAGCCCAGCCCCATGTGGCAGGAGCAACCCACAAGTAGTGTGACCTCCCAAAACACAACAAAACGAAAACTGAATCAGGCTAGAGCCCCTGATTCGACCCCAGTACGTCAAGGTCCTGGAGCACTGCCAAATGTGGCCTCCAAATAAATAAACAAATAAATCCTGCTAGAAAAGGCACCACTTTAGGCCGTTACCATTATTAGCTTTGTGTTGATGACAACTGGTTGATAACAAGGCTCTAGCGGAATTTAGGTTCCAAGAATCAGCAAAGTGAGGGAGAGAGTCCTGAAAGCAGGCATACTGAGTCCTTTCAGTTTAAATCTACCAGATTGCTCTTCGTCTTTTGTGGGGGAGGGAGGGCACACCTCATAATGTTCAGTGCTTACTCTGGCTCTGTGCTCAGGAATCACTCCTGATGGTAGTCTTGGGTCCATTGCACTGTCAGGGATTAAACTCTCACAGGTAAGGCAATTGTCCTACCTGCTATACTCTCTCCTATCCTGTACCATGTTCCTATTACTGTGTAAAAAAGACTAAACTCTTCAACTCCAGGCGGTGGAAAAAATATCCTAAAACATCAAGCACTGCTTTATTGTGTATCACATTTCACATGATTCTGAACAACTGGGGCTGGACCAATAAGCAGTAGGGCGTCTGCACTGCACGTGGTCAATCTGGGTTTAATCCCTGGCATCCCATATGATCCCCTGAAAACCACCAGGACTGATTTCTGAGTGCAGAGTTAAAAAGATTCTGGACAACTATATAAACTAGTAAATACTGAATATTTAGTGAACAAGAATAAAATATTGCCACATCTTCAATAATTTTCAGGATTTAATGAATAGTGTTATTGTAATTCATGTAGTTAATATTCCTCAGAAAGATATATAAAAGTACTATTTTTTGCTTGCTTGGGGGTCATACCTGGCAGTGCTCAGGGGTAATTCCTGGCTCTGTACTCAGAAATCACTCCTGTCAGGCTTGGAGGACCATATGGGATGCCAGTGAATGAACCCAGGTTGGCAAGTGCCTTACCCACTCTACAAATCTCTGGCCCCACAGTGCTATTTTTTCAAGTTACAAATATTAGTGTAACTGAAAGAGAATGGAAATAAAGATAAAAGTCACTTTTGCTGTATCAAGATAAACTTTTATATTAACATAAAGGATAGCCACGTCTTGTTAATATTCAACTACATTCTCAATCCAGCATGATTATCTAAGCCCTTCAGTCTTACAGGTTACATTCTAAAGCTCAGGTTCATTCTAAAGCTACTGATTTGGGCCAAGGGTATAGCTCAGTGGAAAGAGGCCATGCTTCACCTGTGTGAAGCCCTGGGTTTGATACGTCACCAAAAATAAGACAAAACACCGCTTGAGTTCTACTCCAGGAAGCTTTCTGACCTGTGGATAGCTTGTGATGAACGACCCAAGAGTTCAATGACATACTGTTTAAGCCTTTCATTAAACAGTTTTAACTTTTCTGTGGAAAAAATTTTTTTCTTATGATTACTTTTGACAGTTTACTATCTCATTTCTCGCCTGAAGTATGCTCTAACATGGGTACAGTTTTCTAAATGTAACATGGGTAAATGATGATTTCTGGTTGGATCATATTGTGTTTGGGATGAAATATGGACCTCCTACATGAAAAGCATGTGCTCTGCCCTTTGAGTTATCTCTCTGGTTCATAACAGTGATTTTTAAACATTTACAATTTGAGACACAACCTACTGGGATATTACTATATGATGTGGGGGGGACCAGAAACTATGTGTCTTCTTACATCCTGTTCAATTTAAAAAGAACATTTTAAATGGGATGTTGTTCAGTGGTAGAGCCCAGGCCTCCAATGCTCCAGTGTCCTAGGTTTAACTGCAGTACCACAAAAAAAAAATACAATAGCAAATAGAAAAGTCCTCTCATGTAGCTTTATAAGATATCTTTTATATCAGGAATTGACTAATTGTGGATAGCTGAAACATAAGTATATATTTTATATATCCAAACCAACATTAGTCAAACAACATTAAAGATATTCTCAACATTAGAACACATTTTTTACAACAAGGTTGGACTCCGTGAAACCACAGTAATAAAGGACACCATACAATTTAAGGCTATTATCAGACTAAACAAGATTGGGTACTTAACACCTAATTCCATATACAGAATCTTTCATCTTGAGAGTACAACTCATACCTTAGAAACATTAATTAAATTT